AGTTTTAGTGTAAAAAAAAAAACCGATAAAATATATAAAAAACCGGTTGACTGACGATTTTGTGCTAATTCTCTGCTAATCTCGAAAACCGGTTCATCGTTTTCAGCGAAATCTGTTCACGATCTCGTCGTGATCTGTCAGCGTGTGTCTACGACTGTTGAACCATATATTTTATACACACTTACGTTTGCCTCCCAAAAAACACAGTCACCGTTCTCGATTGCAATAAAAAACGTTATTAAGAGCAATATTTGTAATCATCATATTTTGTATTCGAGAAACGTCTTATTTCTCAAGAAAAATGACCACGAATGTGTGTTGTTCTACAAGTAATGTGTTCAGTGACGCCATAGGATTTTCCTATTTATCTTTTTTTTTGTGCCGCGATAAGAGGAATATAACGCAATTACTATATAATGTTAACATATCTACTAGATATGTTAGGTATCTTTATTGATAAAGATTTCAATAAACGATAAAATTTTATATACGCAGCATGTATACTATATATACAATTTGCGCGACAATGCTTCTTCGACCATAATAATAATAATAAACAACTCAAATTTTGTTTTCGTAGTCGCTTCGGTCACCGTTTCACGATGAAAATAGGAATTGTTAACTTACACGCGCTATGATTCTCACACACGCGCGTGTGTGTGTTCGAAAATTATTTCGCGATTGCACGCGTGTTATATAAGTGATTTGCCGAGAAATTTAAACGTTTTTCAAAGCGAGATATGTACATTCACATCAAACAGATAAATCATTTATGCGCCCGGGGGCTTTGGCGTTATCTTTGCCCGCGTCAAGATTTGCACATCTAAAATTAGCCTGATTGAACGTGTCTTCTGTCTTCACGCTTCAGAAATAATCACGGAGAAGTCGTGATCGCGCGAGAGCCCAACAAGAGAAACATTGCGCGTGCGTGTTTTGTAACTTGAAAAAAAAAAAAAAAAAAAATTTATATTCAATATAATATTTTTCCCCCGAGACGGGACATTTTTTGTGTAACGGGATCTCTTTGCCATCGATCTTGTGTGTCGCATCATCGGGCGATCGATGTGATTAAAGCGTCATTTTGAAATCCAAAACGGTGATTTATAATTACTGTTAAATGGAACATCGACGCCCGTGAGCTATATCGACGTTTACAGTTTTTGATCCTTGGTTGCGGTTCACCTCGGCCGTGATCCTATTTAGATATCTTTCTGCCGTCACGTGCCGTTAACGATCGTTTAATTTCGAAAAATAATAATGACTTAAACACATTTACTTTCACGTAACAATTTTCGTGTTACACAAAAATCTGATACAAATTTTTCTTCTTTGTGCGTTCTATATTGTTGTCTCGTAAACGTTAGTGTTTCTCTGTAACAATTGCTCGATTACAATCGAGATCGAAATGGAATTGTTCGAAATCTTGTGCGGCTGCTACGTGAAGTTGTTTGTTTTGCATCGTCTCTCACGTGTTCCCTATATCGTCGGCGTTGTCTGTCTGATTTTTAGTCTAACTCGAACGATATATCTTATCTCGGATTATAGAACTCGTTATCGCCGGTACTGATTGGTAGCGACATCGTATATACCCGTGACCGGTATTCACAATCCGATCTTATATGTTCAAGAGACCGTCTTAAGTTCATCTTAAGATACTGTACGGGCCCGTTTTATTGGCTACATATCATCAAGATAAGGACGATCTTATAAATACAAAGATCCGACAGTGAATATACCTACGTCATACATATCGCGTTTGATACACGTATGTTTTTGTTTTATTGTGTACGTAAACTGCGTGAGACCGCGCGCGTATAATTCTCAGAAAGATAACGAAAAGCCCGAAAAATATTTCTGTTAATTAATTCATCGGCAATTAAATATATATTGCGATGTCATTTGCAAACATACATTTGCGACAGATGTAATTGGTCGCTCTGCTTTAATTGACTTCATTCAATTAAAGCGAGAGATGCCTGTCAAAATAAATACATTTTGTGATCTTTCTCTTTTTTTTTTTCATATCTTGTCGAGTGTTGATTATAAGATGCTAATTAATTATAAGATTATAATTAATCTCAATATTCGGTGACTCTCGACGGAGACTCTCGCTTCGTCGTTGATATCAGAAAAGAAATTTACGCGCTGCGTGCTCTCTCGAACGCGCGATTCTCTCGAACAATTTCTCATTCGAAGAAATCAGACGGTCGCGAGACGCGACATTTGAGATCCGCGAGATCAAGAGATCGTCGAAGAGGTCGACAACGAGGCCTCTCCGAGGTCGCCATTATCACGAGAGTACAAATATAACACTTTACGTCGTCGCGCCCAAAGAGCGCGTTTTAAAGCAACTGAAAACACGCACGATGGTATTTCGCATTGCGAACAGTCGCTTGCGCATATCGTGTGAGCTTTAAAACGATAAGCTTTTCGACGATAACAGCTTTTGTGCGAGATAGCGCTCGCGTCAGGGAGACCTAAACGTGTAGAGCACGTGTGGAATTTTCAAGGTTTGCTAATGTTGGGGAATTCAAGAATTCAAACGCTTCGAAATGGAAAGGCGGAATATGTCGTTTGAAATATCTTTTACAATCTCGAGCCGTGAAAAAAAAAAAAAAAAAAGCAAAGATATTATTTTCCGCTTGATCGATTTACGTGTGTTGGTTGTTGCGACGATCAAGTAAAAGTCCGCTCTCGTGTGGCGAAGTGACGAGAACGAACGTGTTATCTATTTGTTTCTCGTGAAGTTTTATTTGCGTTGGAGTTCTCTTTTAATCTTCAAACACAAATGTATTACAATCAAGTCCTTCGCTTGCGAATTAAAAGGAAATAAGGTCAAGTCGAGTCTGTGAACTCATCAGTCATTGTCAATTGGAAACACATTGCGACAAATTACAATATGCCAATACGTATGGTACGCGAGAGACAATCTCGATAACGTATCGCAAACATTCTTATGTATTTTGTGTGACGGAGTTTAGATAAAACTTAATTGCAAATAAAGAGAGAAACCTTTGCTCGGTTGTTTCTGATCTATTGTCTCGCAAACAAACGTTCTATTCCGTTCGCTAGATAATCTTTTCTTATATTTATCAAAAAAATATAAAACACTTTTGTTGAAGGCAAAATTGTTTGATTAGCGGATAAACAAATAGAAACTTCGAGATCAAAAAATACGGGGATATTTCAATATCTGAAGGAGAAGTTGAGCAATAAAAAAAAAAATAATAATAATAATAATGAGAACGAGAGAGACACGCGAAAGAATCTCTTTCTCTGTTGAAATATCGATATATTGACGTCATCATAATCTACAACGCAACGATCGACCGATTCGTTCGCTACATAGAGAATGATCACTTATTATTCCGATCACTCATAATGAACGAGGCTGTCGACTTTACTTCCTTCTTCCGCTTGGCGTTCATCACGCTTCAATTACAAACATTTATAAGTATATATGTACCTGTTGTTCTCTATCGGAGAGACGGAACTAATATGCAACCGATATGCGGACTCTCTCGCGTCCGGTAGGAATAATTGATTGTTAGTCATATACGAGAGTAGGGATTATTTGATAAACGTGTGACAAATGTGACCGATTATTATCTCAAGTTGAAATTGCGGAATTTCCAGACAATATCAAATGTTTTCTGCGAACGGATTGTCATCCTCGCGATATTTGAAACATTTTTAAGTATCATCATTTCAAGTATGTCAAGGAATCTTGAATTATTTTTTTGTTTCATTATTATTATTATTATTATTATTATGCCTCTGTGAATATATTTAATTATTATAATTATATTTTTATTTTTATTAGTTTCGATTTTTACAAAATTTGCAAAATATTTTCCCTCTGTATAGATTTAGAAAATCTATTGTTATATTAATTTATTGTTAAATTCGCAGACGTTTGACGCAAGTCTCAAAATGTCTCTCTCTTAGAATATTTGAAATATTGTCACACATGTAATTAGGGTGTTAATTAACTGATGAGTAATTGAATGATCCCACAACTTAAGAGTTGAAAGATTAATTGAGGAGAAGATTGCAAAATAATCATCTATCGGAAGAATGCGTATGTAAAATTTATTGAAGGAAGTCCTTCGCGGGTGGCAGTAATGACGAGTTGTTTTTAAGTTCCTTATCGCAGATTACATTAATCATGTTAGATAGAATTTTCGTAAACAACCGCGCTTCTTGAATGCGTCTCGATCGAACAAATTTCGAGACGAACAAGTAATAAATTTCTTAGAGAAAATTTCTTACGTTACCGACTCGATTTTTTGATCGAAAAATTTCTATCATTTTTCTAATGTTTTGTTTTCTATGCTTGTTATTGTCGTTCGTTTTTTTTTACTTTCATAATTTTCAACGACGTCACTCGTTACTCGAATGATCGATCGCGATATTGAACCAGCTGACGTCTCTTTCGATTTATCTCCCAATATTTGAAAATTGAGAGTCAGTAAAATATTTATTTTACACATAATAACAGCTGTTGTTTTTCATCGTTTCGAGTTGTTCACAATGTGAAGATCTTAATGATTCAATTAAGACAAGAGAGAATATTCGCAATCACAGTTTGTGACAAACAAAAACCACATGATATAGATTTATTTCCTCATTCAATCAAACGTTTTAATATATCGCGAACGACCGGCAAGTGCTATATAAGACGGTCATTAACTCCTTATTAGATTTCCTATTTTCAGACCTTCTCACTTCTCACTCGTCACTCGGTCGTTCGGCTTGTCGAAGGTGAAAAGTCTATCTGTTCCCCCTCCTCCCTCCTACTATATTTGCGCATAACCTTTCTCTTTCTTTTTCTCTCTCTCTCTCTTTTTTTCTTTTTCTCTCTCTCTCTCTCTTTTTCTTTCTCTCTCTCTCTTTCTCTCTCTCTCTCTCCGTCGCTCTCTTTGGCAATCAGCTCGCCCCGTTACTCCGGGGCGCGTATCACGCGCGACAACGCTTGTGGGATCGGCTCGGCTCGGCTCGGCGCTCGCGACTTTGGATCATGTTAGTGCGCCACGAACGCTTTCTACTGGAGTGTGTCTTCTCGCGGTTGCGTGTTCTCTTCGTATATAAATGCGAGGAACGCGCGTGCATGTACATATATTCAACGCCATACAAGCTGTCGTATTTCTTCCGTAATATCTCTCGGAAGGCTCTCTTCTCGTTTTGCCGTCGCCATTTTGCCAAAGCACCTGAACGCGCGCGAACGTAATTACCACCGAGAGGAATGTGAACTGTCATCGATCTCGTTGTTGTTCCGCGTGTCACGCAAATCGGAGAGAGCCCGCAGCTAATGCAAACTGCTGCACCTGTACTTGCAAAATTCTTCGCGAACCTTCGTGGTTGTGTGTTAATTGTGTCGCAGTCGGCCGCAAAACATTCCGCCGACGGAAATTGGTCTCGGCTCTCCCGTTTTGTACGTTTATTCACGGTGTTTCTCTGAACACGCGCGGTGTTTCATCGCGATCAGATCGAAAAAAAAAAAAAAGTGCATCGAGGATGATTCGACGGAAATTAAACGAAAGTGCGACGTGATTCCGGAGTTGTCTTGACTGTGTTTTGTGACGCGAAAAAGCCATTTCCTCGCTAAAACCCTTCGATTACTTCCGTTTTCCGATTCCCCATTTGTTCGAGGGAAAAATTCCCCGACACGTTTTCGTTCAAATTCAATAATTGAGCGAATCCTCGCGCGATCCGATTCTTCGAATCTTGGATCTCTGTCAATTTCTTCAAGCTTTGTGTTCCGTCTTAAGAAGAAGATCTTCTTAAAATCTCTCCGCGTAATAGATTTCTCTTCAATCGCATCTTCGTCGAACGCGAGTGTGAACGAAAAAGCGCGCGGAATGTTGAAGATGATCGATTGATCGATTTGGTTCGAGGTTTCTCTCTACGAGACCGAGATCCTCCCGACGACGTTACGTCGAAGAGCTACTACCGCTCGGACAACATCGTGTTGATCGCGCCGTATCGATCGCCGATATATAGTTTTCACACAGTGGACCATGTTGGAATTCTCTGTGCAACATGCCGAAGTCGGTACGTATATATGTATATAATCGCGCGATTTTCAATTCCGACGTGTGTGTCGTCACACTACGCGCGATGCGACGCGTGCGTGGAATATATCACCCAAGAAAGTACTTTCTCGGACACTTTTGCACTTTTCGTAATCCGCGTTCGCATTTGCGTGTTTCTTTCTTTGTATACTTGTCCGCGCGCGTTACATGTAACCTTTACATAACCCTTTTTTTTTTTTTTAACGATATAAACTCTTGAGATAAAAAAATGTTTCTATATTTACATAATTTACATAATTTGTTTTCACTCGCGAAATGTCAAAAAGTATTTAATTTTTCAATGACAATCGGAGCGCGCGAAAAGACCGAATTTTCTAGAGAAAGTCTCGGGACACAGCGACAACGGCAATTGCAAATGATGCCTGTTCCGGCATCGGATTTTGAAAACGTCAGCTTATAATTAGCCTGATTGCGGTGCAGCGCGGAGAATTCTCTCTGTGAGCGCGACGCGTTGCTGATTTGCCGCGCGCGCGCGCGCGCGCGCCCTTTCGGAACTTGTGTGTCGGTGCTTGCACAATAACCGCCAATGAATGTACGTGCGTGCGCTGCCAATGGAGATTCTTCAATTGAATGATCGCGATGTTATCTCGTTAACTGTAATTGACTTCATTACTCCTCCGCCTTCGATATAAGTCTACAGGCTATATATTTTCTAGAATGTTCGTCTATATAAACCGCGCCGCGGTTTATGGAAGTCGAGAGAAATGCACCACACATCCACACACATTCGTTCTTGATCTTCTTCGCGACTTTCTTCGCGAAGAGAGAATCTCGCGCGGATATTCCGCGCCGCGACATTTATTTGCCGCGCGAGTTCTTCCACGACGTTTCGTATCCTTTGTGCGCGCGATGGAATCGTATATCACGTCGTTTGCAATACAGCACATTATTGTCTCGTATGTATACACACACACACGTATACAATATACGTGCATATATACATATATGGATATTGTTTGCACAGAGAGAGAGAGAGAGAGAAAATGAAGCTTCTCTGCTTTGCGGAGTAGAAAGCACTTCGAACACGTGTGTTTTATATGCAACGGGCAATTAAATCCGATGGACAAGAGTGGCTTTTTCTTCTTTTTCTTCGCAAAGATGGAATGTTAGATTCTAGATTCTAATTTTCCAGCTAGAAGCGCTTGTGTGTCGGTATTTCTCATTACGTATAGATGATTTACCAACTTGTAATAATTATACACCGTGAAAGAAAATATATACACACACACACACATATACACCACATGTGTATATATATATATATATATATATATACGCGCGTGTATGTACGTGTGAGTTTGGCGACCGTCTCTTGATTTATTTTATATTCTGAGGTTTNATATATATATATATATATATATATATATATATATATATATGTAAAAAGCACGATGTGTATGTTATTATGTATGACATATATTTTTTTACTATATTGTGTCGTGCGCGTGTATTGTTGTTATTGTACGCTGCATTTAAAATTCCTCGTATCTCTCTTACAAGTCTATTATTTTTTTCTCAGTAAAATCTATGATAGAATTATCTGTACTCGCTCTTATACGCGCGCAAGTACTTGTTGTTCAAGAGAAAGGATTGTCGGGACGAGAACATCATCTTCTCCTGCGCGATGATCGCGTATATAAGCGCGCGCGAATTTTGCGGATCTTACAATCGCGAGTTCGACAGTGTTCTTGAATCGAGACGCGCGGCGGTTCGGTTCAAGGATCGTTTCGATCGCGGCGATGAGATGTCCTCAATGAATCGAGGCGTGAGCCATGCGTTTTCTCAAGGCGAGCCTCTCCTTATTGCCCGCTCAATCCGTAATTCACGTCCAAGCGGACCAAAAACGCGCGTGCGCTTTGATTTTCTTTATTTTGCCAATCGCCTTTGCAATAAAAGGCGAAATCTTTCGGCCACGATCCTCTGACGTCACAATTGACGCATACGTACGTTCATATTGAAGAAAACACCTTACTCAGGTGCAAGCTGTTTGCAATGCTCGCGGTATCGCGGTATCGGAATATTGCGTTTCTTCTTCCTTCCTCAGATTCGGCACATTTCGCAGATTTTAATGCGTCACGCGCGGAAATGACAAATGTGTAAAGAATCGGGAACGTGCTGTGGCAGTAAAGATCACCTCTCGCTCGAAATAAATAGAATTCTAACGCGAGATACGTGCTTTTCGCTCATTGCCGCACGTACGTCAAGATCGAAAGATGCCGCAACCCAACTATTTAGTTATGTAAATTTTGTAATCTCGAAGCAAAAACAACATGTCATCGAACGCGAATTTATTTTGCAAAAAGTAATGAACAAATAAAAAAAATATATTTAAAAAAACGATATTTTTCGAGAAACGTCACGTACCACGCGACATTCTTTTAAACGTTTTTTTTTTTTTTTTGTATTTAATTCTCTCGCGTTTAAGATCCAGGAAGGTTAATCGGAGCGTATGTGCCGGATTTCTATGGGAATCCGGAGCAACGTGTCGATTACGTGACGGTGATGTGAAGTGTCTCTTTCCTGCATTGTAATTGGCATTCTGTCGAACGTAAAAAAAGTGCATCTTAATGTTTCATGTATAAAAAAATACATAATTGTATGAAAAATACGATCGAAGTATTACATCGTAATTTTAAAGACATGCATATCTCTTAAAAATACACATATACATATATATAGAGAATATTCAAAGATATCCAAGCTGGAATGATTTCGGAAAAGAAAAATTACAGAAGAAAAAGTTTTGAAACTTTTGAAATTAAAAATTTCAATTATTTCAAACTTAAAAATTTTTGGTACTGAAGGTCATACTTTAGACGTACTCAAATGTATTTTTTCATCCGCTAAAAAAGAAGCAGCAGAAAAAATACACGCTTCCTTGATAAAAATACCGATGAAAATTACCAACCTTGAAAAATCAAAAAACAATCATCCGACAGAAAAAATTTTTCTTCCATGGTATTCCTCTTTCGAAATTATTTAAATTGTGCCATGGACGGTTTTCGTGTCATTAAAAACAAAGGAGATATTTAAGTGGCTGCTTCAGCTTGGATATTCTATACATATAATGTGTATATATACACGTCTACATATACACACATGTACGCACACAAAAAAATATGTATATATAGCATATCTCATTACGAATTTCTATGGATATCCTTGAATAATGCTTGCTCTACGTAGACTATTATTGAATCCACGCTAAAAGTATTGAGAAGTAATAGTCACGCTACTCACAAATTTAATTATGGTGATTGTGGATTGTGGTTCCCCCTTTACCGACCCACACCCTTGAACTGTGTTTAGTCGCCCGACATTCAACGGCCATTGATGCCTCGAGCATAATTACCGTTCTGGAAATTGGCACGAGCGGTCCACGATTTATTCAAACGAGTCTTGTGCTTTAGTAATTTCGAAAGAATGGTGCAAGCCCCAGACATGTTATTCGGCAGATCGATTACATTTGGAAAATACGTGCAGGGCCGCATAAACTAGAAAAAAAAAAAATAGAAACGATTCTGTTGTCTGTATTAGTTTTCTCTCCAAAAATATTCAAAACTAACTTATGTTTTTATAAAGTCTTTGTAGAATATTATAAAACTATAAAATTTATTTATTTTTTTTTCGTCTTCTCTTTTTTTTCAAGTAAAATACGTACATATAAGAAATAATAAATTTTTTCAAGTACTCGACCCTGCGAAAAAAATTCCCGTAATTCAGACGTGCGTACTTGAGTACGCTACGTTGTTTGCGTTTTTGAATGGAACTAACAACAAGCGCGCGACGCCGCGGGCGAAGCGCGAGAGATGCTAGAGGCGCAATGGTGAGAGGCGATCTCGGGATTATAGAAAGTCTTCAAAACGATTTTTAACGGCGTCGCGTCGCACCGAGATAAAGTGGAGCGAATTAATACCGCTTCGGTAAGACGGAGATAAATGATGTTTTAACGATATTTTTATCGGAAAAATACACCGATACGAAAATCCGTCTGATAAAAATCCAGATTAATAGACGTGGTTTTGATTATTCAAATATAAAGAGAACGTCAAACGCTCAGGTCCAACTGTCAAAATAGCCGAATATTCGAATTTTGCTTACACATTTCATTATTCATTCTCGGGATAATGAAATGTTTAAACTTCCACACAAATGTAAATATTGAAATATTCGCACGTGTGTACACAGTCGATGTATTTCAAATATAAATCTAAATATCTAATCCTGTAAATCTCGGACATTAATGTTTGAACGATTCTTGAAAATAAAAAAATCTTATTAATTAAGTTTAGTGGAAGAATTTCTAAAAAATGAAACAATATATTACAAACTAATGTTGTTTCCTTAATATAGAATGTTGAATAAAACCTAATAAATTTTCAGAGTTTTTGTAACTTTTTAGCCAATAAAAACAATTGGGTCAAACATAAATGTTCAGGATTTACACAAGATACGTTCCTAAAAAAAAACATTTACAGGATTAAAGTTAAATATTTAAATTCCGAGTATATACAGATATGCAATAATATATCGGTATAATGTGTGTGAGTTTTGCATATATTTTTCTACGTATTTATAAAAATGGCAATCTCTCGTGTTGATCTGTTGTCATTTGTAAAGACAAATATTTTTGCTAGTACTCACACATTTGTGTTCGCTTGTCAAGTATCATTTTTCTCTCTTTCTCTCTCTCTCTCTCTCTATGCAGTCGCGTGTAACGCACGCAAGAGGTGCGCGCAGTTCGAAAAGAGAACAGATCAAAAGAGATTGACGGGAATGAAAAATAAAAAAAAAAAAAAACGCAGAGAAAGAAGTGCCGAGTAGACAGCAGGAAGTCGATGGGGACAATCACGTTACAGCCTTTCATTTACATACGTCATAATGTAATTGGACTGTACTTGCCGCACACGGGAAACGTGCATTCGTAAAATATTGCAACTGACAGTTGTTCCTGACCTTGTCGAAGAAAGACAGCGCAGGGAAAATTCTCATGTTTCGCGAATATATTAAGCATACGATCTCTCTCTTTGATTTTAAATAATAAATATATTTTTATAAGTAATAAAAATATATATTATTATATTATTGTATTATACATTATTTTAAGTAATAAAAATATTATTATTATTAAATAATATATTTATTATTTACGCGTGTCAAAATAAATCTGTTCCTAGAATTTAGTTCGTAAAAAGGCGCGCAAAACATCATTTGCAACTTCAAACGGGGAAAGTCATTAAAATGCAGACAAATCGACTTCCACCATAATAATATCGATATTTTATATGCAACGACGTGATAATTTCGCCGTTTGAAACGCCGTCACGCGCGCGCGCGGGCCGTATCCGCATCGCATTTAAAACCCCCCGGATTCGTTAATTAACGCGATTTGCTGACGCATCTGGTCACGCTTACGACTACGTTGTCACGTGCACGTGCGCCCACAAGTATAATATGTCAGGTGTGCAATCGCGCGACCTTCCGGTAATTATTAGGAAGTTCGTTTCGACTGAGCGCGTTTGACAATGGTGCCTCTCTTAATGACCACCGTTTTCCAACGAGCACCTTCGAAAATGTGGGATAATACGCGTACACATGCGTACCGTGCGCGCGCGCTCGGATGCACCGTATGTCTTATTCGCGTTATATCATAGAGTGAGAGTTTGACGGTTTAACAACAGTGACTTTCTTCAGAACGGTAGTTGGTTAGGTTTTAACGCGCTTTCCACCACGGGCAGTCGAGTCGAGATCAATCACACACGCATCGATATATATAGAAGAGATCGTCGCGTATTACCGCGGAACTTTTGACTATCCGTTAAAATTCTCTCCGCAATATTTTTTCTTTTTTTTCTTTTTAATCTATGTTATATCACAGTATGTATTTCCTTATTACCGCTGTCAAGTTTTTTTGAATGTCTAAAAACAAAAAACAATCCTTGAAAGTCCGCGAATCCCCATGGATCGATCGTCGATCTCACAATTGTTTCATCAATCTTTCTTCCAACCGCACAAACACCGAAAGAAATCTTTAAGAGAGATATTGCCTACTCCTCTGTAGCGTAGGCCGTCGCGGAACAGGTTGCCGACTTAATGGGTCATTGAGCAAACGCGTGTGTTCTCCAATCACCGCGCGGAATTGCGAGCGAGCAAGCGAGCGAACGAGCGAGCGAGAGCGCGAGTCGCGTCTATCGACGAGTAAATAACAATCGAGATTAAATAACGAAAAAATGCTCGGCTTGTAATTGAGTAAATAATTGCTCTCTACTAATCCGCGGTGTATATATTGTATCGTTTGAGTGACGAGTGTTTATTGTTTTCTTTTTTTTTTTTTTTTCTTTTCAATTATTTCTTTGGTTTCTATTCCCGGCGAGGACAGTCGTCCACGTAAAAAAGCGATAATATTGTCGGAAACATTTTACATTTTTGATAGAAAAACAAGAACAAAAAAAAGTATCTCGACGTGATAACACGAAAAGAGTTGAAGCTATTTGTAACAACATTAATTAACGACAAAGTGAGAATGTCGATGTATCTCATTTTTTGATAGTTTTTTTTTATCGCGCTAACATTGTCGCGTAAACAATCAAATAAACGCAAGCTAGCTCACTTTTGCTTTCCTCATTGCGAGAAGAGATCAGAGATCGCATAAATAATTCCGTCAATCAAAGGGTTAATTGTTGCAGGGTCGGACTGTACGTTAATGCTTGTATATAGTTTAATGTCCGTCCGTCAACGCGTGGAAGGTCGCGATCTCTCGCCTCGAGGGCACATAACTTTACGACGCGACCCGCATTAATAACGCGCGCCCTTCCTCTCTGCCGGCACTCTCTCCCTTTGTTTCTTTCTCGCTTCCTAATGTTAAGAACGACGGTCACGTACATACTGACGATCTCACTTTGTTTCTTTCCGTATCTGTTGCAGCACTTTCCACAGCCACCGAGGATGTGGGAGATGGACCCCAAGGGCACGAAAACGACACCGGTGAGTGAGCGATATGTTTGATCTCTTTGAGAGAGAAAACGAGAAATCCGCTTTCCTTGGATTATAAATCTTCTCTCTTTTCTTTACGAATTTGGAATCGATTCTTCGGGAGAGTTTTATGAATCGTTAACGTCTCTTCTTTAAGACGAGGAATTTTTTTTTCAAGTTTTTAAAAGCGACTTTTATCGCGCGCTGGATGTCATAGCGCTTGAAAACGACCGTGTCTCGCGCTAATTGCCACTAAATCTAGTCGAGGATACATTACGAATTATCGTTTCTCCTTTCGTATCGGAGTTATTTGCTTGTCATTCAAGCGATAATAGATAGTACAACGTCGTACAACTTTAATGCACTTGCATATTCAATTTTTTTTTTTTCTTTTTTTTTTATATTCGACGATTTTAATTCACACGTGCTATACAAACGTGCTATACTGCGCGATCGAAAGCGCATGAGTTTTGCGAGAAGTCATTCGCACCGCTCAATAAGTTATTTTCCATTCGCGCGCGAGATTTTTTTTTTATCTCTTTTTGCGATCTCGCGCGTCGACATGTAACCGAGCGAAAGCAAAAAGATAAGAAACACACTCGCGGAGGAGCGCAAAAACGGGGAATTTGTCTTCAGAAGATTATTTTATTTTCACCGTCCATGTTCATCGGGATTCGGTCCAGGGTCGACTGGTCCAGTTTCCGAGTGAGCGGCGGAGAGGATTGATGCTAGAGAATATATTTAACGCGCGCAAATTCGTCGATTGATGCGATTCGAGCGGTCGAAATCGCGATCGTCGTATATCGACACGCAATATATAAATCGCGATTTAAAAAGAGATGACTCTTCTCATCGTCGCTTTAAAACTTATATTCAATTTGGTGCCGGAGACGTGTGTATATTGTTTGTCATTTCCGCAACACGAGATTCCGCACACAGATACGTTCTCAGAAGTTTTATATGATTAAGTTGCCGATGGTGAGTGATTAATTAGGCGTTCAAACAAGACGATAATTCTTTTCCGAGAATGCGCAAACACGAGATGACCGTCCAATCTCACGTACATAAAGGCCGGTTATAAGTACGATTCGCGCGTATTTGCTGCGACAGGCCGCCTGTCATATACGTATACTGACGGCCGACGCGCACGTGCGTCTTCTACATATCATACACATATTATACATACGCGGTGCGCAGGTGCTGCGTCATCGGCCCGCAACAAAATGAATCATAACGAATTTACATCAAATTTTTTTTTTTACATCTCTTGCAGTGTAAAAAATTTTGATGTGAGCAATTCGATGATTGTATGAATGACTTAACACATCAAGTAGCTCTCGTGGTGGCTCAAAGTTTAAAATCGAAGAGAAAACTGCAAATGTGTGTGAAGGTGCAAAGTCTACAGTAATATATTACTCATAAAATTTTATTATTATTAAATAAAAAACTATACGTATATATCCGGTCGATTTTATATTACAAACTTTGAAAGAAATTTAAAAATCTGTTTAAACAAAATTTAATATTAAAGTTAGTATACAATGTGAAGGTTTTTTTTTACACGATCCATGACATACATTTAGAGTGCGTTCTCTTTGGACGCTTATGCGCTTTAAGCGTCAGTCCGTCTTTATTGCTCTTATTTAAATGTAAAACAAAGATAGACTGATTATCAAAGCGCGTGAGCGTTTAAAGCGCATGCACCTTTAGATACTATATATCATACAAAGTATCAACGCAAAACAAGTGAGACTCTTCGGGTTCTCTGGCGGATTGTTTAGCAAGTATCGATTTTGATTGCGTTGTAGGTAAGGTAGGAAACATCATACTCTTTAGTTGATAATGTCACTCTCGCTACGTGTAAATTACCGACGTGCGGAAAAGTGCTGCCTGTTTACAGCTGACGGTCATACCGCATTCGTTCTTCAGTCGATAACAATCGAGAGTGACATTATCGTCTTTTTTTATCGGTAATCTATATTATTTGAACTAACACTCGGATCGCTCACATCAATCAGATATTATCATCAGTGTCTTTACGTTATATCTTTTGTGTCGTTCTCAAATTTTATATTTACTTATTTACATAACGTCAAAGAGCCCGCACATTACACATTATACAGTTCGAAATTTTATACATGTGAGATACATAAAATAAAAATTATAATATGTGCGCGCGCGTTTGCCATGTCTGGTTTAAATTTTAAAAATATATGTACAGGGTATCTCCGTATATTTTCAGGAAACACATAGTCATAGGCTATGAATATCTTATTGGGAGATATGTACATAAGTTTTTTTATAGTAAAAATAAATAAAGAGGAAAAAATGAATTTTACCAATATATATATATCAACCCTTTGCCTGCAGATTTAAAAAATGACCTACAAGTAAGACAAAGTCACTCGGTGAGAACTATGCGACTTTAGAATTGAATATATCCACTTTAGAATTGAAAAATCAATATTTTTTCAAGTTTGTTTTTTTAATCGAAAGCTTGAAAGATTCTACGTCGATAAAAAAAAACAAATTGAAAAAATCTTTAGTAGTTTCGAAGATATAAGCGTTTAAAAAACAAAACTAATTTTTACTAGAGCGCCGATGCGCAATTTATGAGTGGGTCTGGGAGACCCACAGGTCTGCATGCAAAGAATTAATAAAATATATATTAATAAAATAATACGATTTACACAACTGAATAATGCGCTAAATCAGATATCAAAAATTTATTTTAAATGCGCTTAAGAATAACGCAATATGTCGCAATAAGATTCTAATCTCGCGAGCTATCTGAGATTAAGAAGAATTAACTTAATCTGACGTGTTAAAGATACGCAATAATAAAATTTAAAAAGAAAGAAAACATTTAAAATTCTACATTATTTTTAATAGAGACACATAATGACATATGATATATATGACGTACATGACTATTGCGCGTTGTTCCACGCGAGTTCAATCAATTGCGCGAGTTTTTCGCAAATATTTCTGAAAGTCACCGTGGAAACGTCGAGACGCTTGTAATACCTTGTATCACGATAACATACAACGTCCTTTTGTACGATACAAGCAGGACTAACAGCGTTTATCATATCGGTCATCCATCCTATTAACGCGAACCGCCTCCCGCGGATCAATTGTCGCTTAACCCTCGGTCTCCGATCTCGGCGATACGATGCGAGGCGAGACGAGGACGAAACGCGACAATAAAACGCCAGCTGCGTTTTCTATCCGACTCGAGTCGGGTCGTCGGGTACGCCACGTGACACGGTTGTACGCTTGCTTTGGCAGTTTTGAGAAAGGAAAAGACGGCCACTCCTCCGCATATAATCTCGACGTCGTCACTTCCTACGTCGCGAACTTTCATGCTATTTGTTGCATCTTGGCACTCGCGTCTTTGCCATTACGTGAAATTATTAGATTTCCCGCGGCGCAATCCGCAGCCGCGTCTCCGCGCGCGCTATTAACGTTTTTCCCCTCCAAGGACGAGTCTCGATCGAGAGAAGCCAGAATGACCAATTTCGGTGTTTGCTTGGGAAATACGCATTTAAATACCTCCTCTTGCACAAGTGTAAAAAAATACATCTTTCATTTTAATTATCCATATTAATACATAATTCTTTTTCTTCTACGTGAACAACCGTTGATGGTTTTTTTTTCTTCGATATTTGCCAAAGTCGCGCGTAATCGACGATTCGACACGTCGAATCCGAAGAATTATTATTGTGTATCGATTAGTCAGTTATTAACGCGAGATGTGTCGCATCGCTTGTCACCCATTTGCGTCATCGCGCAATCACGTGCAGGTTAATGCAAATTCGCTTGCTCGTTAATTTGAAAGAAAAGAAACCAACCGTCAATTACGTCGATCAGCGATCGTAAGGAAAAATATTTACGGTTGAGAAAACATTTGCAGTACTAACAGTTAATTATCTAGTTATTATCGTCCAATTAACGAGAGCCGCCGCCGCCGCGCGCGCGCGCTGCAGTTACACATGTGCCGAGTGTAATATCAAGGAGAGTCAAGTCAGTTTTGAAAACAGTTGTACCCCCGATAATTCTCACTCTCTCTTTCTCTTTCTCTCTCTCTCTCTCTCGCTAAAAGAGAAAATAAAACTTTTACACAAGTTATTTAATTAAAATATATATCGGTATTAAATTACCAATTCAAATTAATAAAATTTAATGTTTTGAGCTTCGAAAGTTAATTAGGTTAATTGGACGTTAAAATACTAACCGCATTCTTACTTATTTGCCGTTGCAATTTTGATATTCGAACGGTTATACAGGTGAGATAAGCGCGCTCTTGAGGTGGGATTATTCATTATTAGCGACATTAGATACGCAAAACAATCGTCATCTAATACCATAAGCCCTCGCGAATTTGACGATTAGGTGTTGCAACCGAAACTATCGCGACTTCACGTACTAAGGAAAGGGGACAGGAGAAGCAGAGACAAGGAGAGATGTGCACGCGTGCGCCACGTGCGCGCTAACGAAGCTCAGGTTTCACGTTCGACAGTCGTGACTCTTTTTTGCGCGACTGCGTTCACTGCGAAAGGATGTGACGCGTGTAATTGGCTCTAATTGGTTTACCAATTGCCGCGGCCAATTGGCCGATGGAAAGCCGGTCTATTAGATTCGAACGAGCATTGAAACTGTTTGTGCGCAAACAGCGGATTGTGCGAATGAAAGTGATGCGGAGGCATTTTCTGTGGGGATAACTAAATACACGCGGTTGTTGTTCGGTATTGCGAAAGGTGTTTGTTTGTTTTATTTTTAATCGAAGGGCCAAATAATCTCAAAAAAATAAAAGCGCAAGCAATGTGTCTTTTAAATAAAAATTTACGCGAAATAAATTCATTCGCGCGTTAAAATATGTTTAATGACTTCGTCCGAGTCGCATTTCGGCTTAAGATAAGAAAAATAAAACACAGTTCGGAGATTAAAAAAATCGAAATATCTAATTTCGTCGAACAAATATAAATCCGAGACGGAAAGACCCATAACGGTTGACCTCAGAGCGCTTAGCAACAAGTCTCGTGCATGGGCAATGTCCTCCGGAGAGATATGATCCTTATTCTTCCGCAAGTCGAGGCGCTTCCACGCGCGTACGTAGTAGTACGTACAGCCCGAAGCGATCAGGTGATCGCTACTGAAAGTACATCGCGAAGAATCAAGAGGAACTTCGAGGAGGGAAAGAACTTGAGTAAGGAAAAAAAAAAACACAACTTGGGAATTTTAATTCGATCCTACAAACTCGACAAAAATCGCGCGTTGGGAATCTCCTTGGCGATTCGCCGCGACCAATATAATTACTTACGAGTCAGCATACGTGCCTCCGCGATACGCGTGCGAGAGACGACGTAACGAGACCACGAATTTAGACGTGCCGAGCGTGTAACTCAAGACGCGTGCTATGTAAATCGCGCCGTTTGCGCAGCGTTAACGCATCGCGTGCACTGCTTATCTAAGACAAACGACGACTTTTTCTAACTTACTACTTGAATTAACTCTTCTACGGGGTTTTATTTAAAGTCTTCGATGTGTAATCGAGAAATACAAGTGACTCTCTCGGATCGTCTCGTAACGACACCCGGACGTAAGAAAGTATTGTATTACACGAGGAAATTGAAATCTGTTGAAATCTTCTTTACCCTACTCGTCTGAAATCGGCGACAATTCTACGTAATAACCAAGCGGCATGCTCGTTTGATTTCGAATAGCTTTTTTTTTTTTTTTTTT